TACTACCAGTCCTTCATCACCTTACACGAAATAGGGTGAATACATCTCATTACAGAAGAAGAATTTTCCCACAATGATATGAGTTGAGCTGACGTTTCTACTGAATTTCACATAGCCGTGCTTTCCCAAAAGTTTTTCTCATCCAGTGGACTGCAGTTTCGACAACCAAAAGAATATGATATAGCAAAAGGCCTGGCCTTCCTTGAAATTCACATTTGCCCTGTGAACCAAGGGCACTCGTGGCAGTGTAGCCGAGTGGTTAGCGTGTCAAGCTCCCATCCTACACTTCCGCCGTTTGACTCCCGCTGAGGGTGTTGATAAGACCGATGCGAGATCGAAACTGCAGTCAATCCTGGATGAGAACAACTTTTTGGAAAGCAAGGTTATGTGAAATTCAATGGAAACATCAGCTCAGCTCATATCATTGTGGGAAAATTCTTCTTCTACCAGTCCTTCATTACATTAAACGCAATTCGGCGAATATATCTCATATTACTGAGTTATTGGTAGTCTCGAAACAATACTTAATGTGAAACATACTTGTAAGAAGACAGCTCATTTTATGTGTAGTTACTATTTTTTGCATTGCATCTCAGAAAATGTAAATTGAATGAAATTACCGTAGTTTTCCGGAAGCTTGCCAGATTTCGGGTTACTCTCTGCACTCCAGCCCGTTTGTCTAACGGCTGTCGGGCATACATTTTGTCCAGACCAAATAGTAGACCAACTGGGCTGCCGTACAGCCGTGACACCGGATTCATGTTCCCTTTCCGCGATTGACGACTTGATGGCCTCTTTGGGGTCAGTTGTGGCTTTACTGGTGAATGCTGTACCGACGAAATAGTCCGATTCGGGCTCAATCGTTGAAAGCTGGTTCGGCGTGATATTGAAAGAGGCACTACACACCGCGGGGCAGACGGTCTGGCTTTCGGGAGTGGCTAGACCGTCGTCCTCCAACGAGCCGCCAAGCAATGCCTGATTGATCAGGAGACTGGGCAAGGATTGAAAAAGTTGTCTGAGCCTGTCTGTGTCCTCCAACTGTACCAACACCTCACAAATGCAGCATATCTGTGTCGTAAGAAAGAGCGGAGTAGGCAAATGTGGCAAGCAACTTTGAGGAATGGAGGTTATAACCATTTATTTATTAGAGGAAAAAGTTGTAATTTGTCTCGCTTCTTCAAGACCTGATAGTTGGTATATTCACTCGATACAAACTAATCCATCTCGATTCCCACCAAAGGTTCAGGATGAGTTGAAATTGAATGAAAAAGTCATGTTTTCTTAGTTCAGCTGAGCGAAACCAAAGCAACCATTGTCCTAATTCATAAAATAGAGTAATCTCTTTCGATTTCAAAGGAGATTACCCCGGAAACAGCGTCAACATGAATCTTCCATTAAAGCCAATCGACAGCTTGTCAAGAGGAATCCGCCGTCGTCTTCTGGTGGAATCGAGCTTCGAATCTCTTCACCAAACACTTTCACTCGAAATTGAAATAAGCTCAGCAGGTAAAGTAGCCAATTGTGACGCCTAATAAAAGTTTTTTTGTCAACAATCCCATTATAAAATCATTACATATAACTAAAGTCATTATTTGCATATCTCCGTCTCGGGCTAAAGTCATTGCATCGAAACCGTTACCTCGTAGCTCTATTCTTAGTTTCGCTTTTATTCAAGAATACCTTATTTGCCGTTTAAATGATAATAATTGCCAGTTTGTGATAGTTGAACATCTCACAGATCCCTCACCTGCTACACGTTTGGAAACATCTACGGACCTGACATAGATACATTGTGCAAGTGAAGTTCCGACTCAATTCTAAATGTTGTAGATACCAGAAGTAACTGGGTTTAAATGAATGTCTTAAGGTAACATTGTTTGGGAGACTTTCATTTCGTATGCAAGTGCATTATGAATAGTCTCGTAGATCGAAATGACCAGAAGAAGAAGACTGATTCCAGTTGCTCTGTGGCCGTTTTGCTCTAACATGGCGTTCAGGTTTACACAGTCCACGAGACATCTTCCCCCACTTCAGGTGAAACCGGGCCAAGATTTCGTCAATCGTACTGAGCACAAGCATTAACACACACACACACACACAATCAGAAAGCCACAATCAAGTACAAGTATAATGACTCATCTTAAAGAGAACTAACCCAATCATTCTATACCTATCTATCTATATGCATAAATTTTAGTTTAATATTTATGAATACATATGTGTATAAGACGTGGAATGGAGCCTGACAGTATTTTAGGCCTAGTGTTAGCTTGAGACTTTTGCAAGAATGAGTTCCGGCTCTGATGATGTCCGTCATATGACGAACGAAAGCCCAATCCGTTTTCACCTGAAACGAGGGAGAATGTCTCGTGGACGGTGTCAACCTTAACGTCGTTATAAAGCGAAACTGCTACAGAACTATGGGAATCGGCCGCCATCTTCCAGTGAGATCGACCTACAAATCTCTTAATCATGCACTTTCGTAGCAAATAAAGATATCTTTAACACTTAATTTCAAACGTATAATGTGGCCTCAGTCCTTGGGAAGAACATTTATCAAAAGTAGACGGTTCGTTAAGAGATCAAACAAACTAGCACAACTGACTTGGCAGCTTTTCTGTACATTTTCCAAGCCCGAAATGTTACAAGTACGTATGTATCCTTGTCGTGACAGGATAATCTTCTCTGATTTAGCCCAAAATGGGGCGCTATTATCTCATATTCATGATAATCGTGTACAAAATTAGTA